GTGTCTTCTCTGTTCCTTCTTCCTGTGTTTGCCTTCCTGTCATTAGTTCCCCTGGTGTGTCTGATTGTCTGATTGTGTTCACCTGTTGCCCTTGTGTTTCTGCCTCTCTTACCCCAGCTGTGTCTTGTCTTGTGATTACCCCTCCCTGTATTTAGTCTTGTCTCTTCCTGTGTTCCCCTGTCGGTTCATTGTTGGTTTTTCCTGTCTTCCTCCATGTCAGTCACGGTTGTCTCTCCTGTCTCCCTCCATGTGGGTCACGGTCAGTTTTTTGTACAACCCATTTGTTTCATGCCTTGTTTTGATCAGCTTTTAAAATAAAGCTCGCTTTTTGTTTCGAGACCTGTTACCTTTTTGATAGTCTGCATTTGGGTCCTACCCTTCCACGCCATCCTAACAGAATGAACCAACCAGCTTTGGACTCAGCAGACTCGGATCGTTTTGCTCTACAGGCAGAATGTCTTGGGTACTCTCTGGAGTACATTTTTTATACCTGGAATGGCGCCTCTTCTAGACGTGGTAGAGAGGCTGCGTTGAAGGAGGCACGTCAGGAGGTTGCTCGCCAGCCCTGGCTTAGGAGCATGTTGCCTGAGTGGCTACAACTTTTCACAAGTAGTCCTGAGGACTTGTCCGAAGCCTCTAACCCTTTCCTGGGGTATGACCAGGCCTGGGGAGGCCCACAGATCCTCCAAAGAATCTCTAGGAGACGCAAGACCAAGATTCCAGCCCGTGCTCCAGTGGTTCCAGCTCCATTCTCTGGCCCTTTTTTGGGATCCCGCCTGGCGTTTGGAGGTCCACGGAGCCTCCAGGGGGCCTCGGAGAAACGCAAGGTCGGGAGGCCGGCTCGTGGTCCAGTACCGGCCCACACAGCCATGGATCCGTGCACCAGTACCGGCCCACACAGCCATGCTTCCGTGCTCCATTACCTGGCTCACACAGCCAGGGTCCAGGCTTCTGTTCCGGTCCCAGCAGCCATGGTCCCGACTTCAGTTTCGACTCCAGCACCCCGTCTCCTGTCGGTGGTCCGGCCGACTCCAGCACCTCGTGTCCTGTCGGTGGTCCGGCCGACTCCAGCACCTCGTGTCCTGTCGGTGGTCCGGCCGACTCCAGCACCTCGTGTCCTGTCGGTGGTCCGGCCGACTCCAGCACCTCGTGTCCTGTCGGTGGTCCGGCCGACTCCAGCACCTCGTGTCCTGTCGGTGGTCCGGCCGACTCCGGCCCCCCGTGTTTTGTCGGTGGTTCGGCCCACTCCGGCCCCTCGTGTTCTGTCGGTGGTCCGGCCGACTCCAGCACCCCGTGTCCTGTTGGCTCTATGGCCGACGCCTACCCCATGTCCTGTGATGTTGGAGGTCCCGCCGACTACTCTTCTGCCGGGGGTCCTGCCAACCCTATGTCCTGTGCTGTTGGAGGTCCCGCCGACTACTCTCCTGCCGGGGGTCTTGCCAACTCCATGTCCTGTCCCATTGGGGGTCCCGCCGACTACTCTTCTGCCGGGGGTCTTGCCAATCCTATGTCCTGTCCCGTTGGGGGTCCCGCCGACTACTCTTCTGCCGGGGGTCCTGCCAACCCTATGTCCTGTGCCGTTGGAGGTCCCGCCGACTACTCTTCTGCCGGGGGTCCTGCCAACCCTATGTCCTGTGCCGTTGGAGGTCCCGCCGACTACTCTTCTGCCGGGGGTCTTGCCAATCCTATGTCCTGTCCTGTTGGGGGTCCCGCCGACTACTCTTCTGCCGGGGGTCCTGCCAACCCTATGTCCTGTGCTGTTGGAGGTCCCACCGACTACTCTCCTGCCGGGAGTCTTGCCAACTCCATGTCCTGTCCCATTGGGGGTCCCGCCGACTACTCTTCTGCCGGGGGTCTTGCCAATCCTATGTCCTGTCCCGTTGGGGGTCCCGCCGACTACTCTTCTGCCGGGGGTCCTGCCAACCCTATGTCCTGTGCCGTTGGAGGTCCCGCCGACTACTCTTCTGCCGGGGGTCCTGCCAACCCTATGTCCTGTGCCGTTGGAGGTCCCGCCGACTACTCTTCTGCCGGGGGTCTTGCCAATCCTATGTCCTGTCCCGTTGGGGGTCCCGCCGACTACTCTTCTGCCGGGGGTCCTGCCAACCCTATGTCCTGTGCTGTTGGAGGTCCCACCGACTACTCTCCTGCCGGGAGTCTTGCCAACTCCATGTCCTGTCCCATTGGGGGTCCCGCCGACTACTCTTCTGCCGGGGGTCTTGCCAACCCTGTGTCATGTGCCGTTGGGGGTTCAGCTGTGGGTCCTGCCAACCCCATGTCCTGTCCCGTTGGGGGTCCCGCCGACTACTGCTCCGCCAGGTTTCCTGCCAACACCAGATCCTGTCCTGTTGGGGGTCCCGCCGACACCTGCTCCACCAGATTTCCTGCCTACACCATGTCCTGTCCTGTTGGGGGTCCCGCCGACACCTGTCCTGCCGGGGGTCCTGCCAACTCTGTGTCCTGTCCTGTTGGAGGTCCCGCCGACACCTGTTCCACCGGGGGTCCTGCCAACTCTGTGTCCTGTTCCGTTGGAGGTCCAGTCGACACCAGCCCTTGCTCCATCCGGGGTCCCATTGACACCAGTCCATGTCATGTCCAGGATCCCGTCTACGCCTGTTCCGTCGGCTCCGGTTCCTGTCTGGCCGACAACGGGTCCTGCCCGGCCTCCGGAGCTGTCCCGTCAGCGCCTTCCTGCCCGTCCTCCGGAGTTGTCCCGTCAGCACCTTCCTGCCCGGCCTCCGGAGCTGTCCCGTCGACGCCTTCTTGTTCGCCCTCGAGCCCGGCCCCCTGAGTGCCGGGGCCTTCGCCCTCGAGCTCGGCCCCCTGATTTCCCCAGCCGTGGCCTTCGCCCTCGAGCCCGGCCTCCTGACGCTTTCAGCCGCTGCCTTTGCTCTCATGCCCGGCCCCCTGAGTTCGCCCGCTGTGGTCTTCGCCCTTTTTTTAACTCTGCCTTGCCCCCGGGCCGTCCGCCCGAGACCCCCTCCTTGATCTCTGCCTTGCCCCCGGGCCGTCCGCCCGAGACCCCTTCCGGGTCCTCCGCTGTGCCCCTGGGCTGTCAGCCTAAACCCGTCCTCCAGACCCCCTCCGCCCACCCTGCTGGAATTTTTTGGACTTTTGGGGGTTTTCTTGGGACGTCTGGAATCCGTCCCTTGAGGGGGGGGTTCTGTTACGGTTTTGTATTTATGTTTTCATTTTCCACCTTTTGTTTTGAAATGTTTTCCTCCTTGTGTCTTCTCTGTTCCTTCTTCCTGTGTTTGCCTTCCTGTCATTAGTTCCCCTGGTGTGTCTGATTGTCTGATTGTGTTCACCTGTTGCCCTTGTGTTTCTGCCTCTCTTACCCCAGCTGTGTCTTGTCTTGTGATTACCCCTCCCTGTATTTAGTCTTGTCTCTTCCTGTGTTCCCCTGTCGGTTCATTGTTGGTTTTTCCTGTCTTCCTCCATGTCAGTCACGGTTGTCTCTCCTGTCTCCCTCCATGTGGGTCACGGTCAGTTTTTTGTACAACCCATTTGTTTCATGCCTTGTTTTGATCAGCTTTTAAAATAAAGCTCGCTTTTTGTTTCGAGACCTGTTACCTTTTTGATAGTCTGCATTTGGGTCCTACCCTTCCACGCCATCCTAACAAAAGGAACCTGACCAAGCGTCACTATTGGGGGCTAAGACTGTGTTGGTTTTAGCCTCCAGCTTTCCCTAAATTCTTCACTCAATAAAGCCCTGCTGGTGTTTGCATTGTGCCCAAAACAACCCTAATTTCTTCAAGGCAGCCGTCTGGTTTCAATTGTGGAGGCATCTGCGTTTCCTCCACTGTCTTTTGTTCTGTGATTAGTCATAACAGCGAATGTCATGCGGCAGACAGTAATGGCTAATGTGTCCACGCAGTGATATGCTATAAACAGAAGTTTTTTTATCATCACACTACATCTCTCCACAGCACAGACTGCTAAGTGTACTAAACACTGTCGCCTCGGGGTTAATCCCTGTATCAGCTGTCCCTGTCTTTCCCTCAACCTCTTCAGCTCAAGTTATTTCTCTGCCTACAGTTCAAAAGCAGGTGTGGCATTGCTTCGTTTTTGCTCTTAATTTGTTAAAGACATAAACAGTGGCTTCTTAAGAGTTGTTATTAATAAGTGTTCAAGGCCTAGGTTAACATATTTCTAAACGGCTGTGTTTCCTGCAAGGTTCTCTTTTGAAATTTGCATTTAAACACGAGGTGTGCCTGTTAGACACTTGTCTGGAAATATGAGTGAGAGTGCTGCAGCACTCTGGGATAATGGTCTTAGAGAGCTGTTAGGGCGCACATGTAGTGAACTTAGGCCACAGTCATTTACATTGGAGACGGTCAGAGCCACCATCATTTTCTTTGATTGTGGGGCAGAATGTGCACATTATGTATAGTGGGAGTGTAGAGGTTCATCAGCGGTTGAGGAATGTACAATTTACATAGAAAGGACTGAAACTTAAATCCTTAATACCCGTGAACAGAAACACTTCTGATCATGAATGACGAGTGCAGAAACCCTTCGTAAGTGGATCATTCTGCTCAGCATGATTGCAGATAATGCAGAAAATGATGTGCTCTTTTTCTTTCCAGTAAAATTATACAATCTTTGTTCAATTTTGACATGATTTGCTTTGTCGACGAGAAGATGTTTAGCTTGGCTTATTGTAAAGACTTGCAAAACCACTTGTTTAACACTTATTTTTGCTTAGTTAAATGTAACCATAATCCTTATAGCCATATTTAGTGAACATGAAAGTGGTATTGATGTTCGTGGCAAGAACATACAAGTACAAATATTTCCTCATAACAATAGATGTATTGCCATAATCCTAACCCTAACCCTAACCACAAAGCTTCCAAGACACTTGAAGCCTTTGGAAGTGAATCATCAATGAACAAGTCCTGTCAGTGAATACAATGTTTGAATGATTAATAAAATGTTGGCAACAGGTTTTGGGGGTAATTTGAATTCCGTTGTTCATCCTTATTTTCTTTTTTCAACAGTGGCCATGGCTATTAACCATGAAGCTGGAGCGAGACCCTCCCATCGCTTCCTTCCGTCAAACAGAGCCTCTCTGGTGCTATATTGAACACACACTCTCTGAGTATGCCATCCAAGTGCGAGAAAGCCCAACGGACCGCTTAACACCCGCTGTAAGTACCAACACACTCTGACACCGCAGTGTTAGCTTTTGAGTGTTTACTCATGACACTCACACCAAGTCAAACCCAACCAGAGCAACTCATCCTCAGCTCCAATATCCCAACGACTCATTACCGAATTATGCAGCTGCTGTTCAAATATTGTAGTAAGGTATCTGACTCACCCTCTACACACATGGTGCACACGTTTGCAGAGGGTGAGTGTCTTACATTTTATGGTACCACTTTACAATAAGACTACCCTTATAAAGGGTTTACGAATAGTTTGTAATTCATTTATTAATTAGGTTGTGAACACTTTATAAATCATTAATAAGCTTTTATAAGACATGAGATAAACAGGGCACCTGTGACCGGTTGCTTGCCAAATAGTGAGCCCACATTTATCTGTACTGCTAAGCCTTATATTGGCTACTTAGCTTACTTCGTCTTCTTCATCAGCCAGCATCCTTGGTATCTGTTGTTCACAGAGTTGATTCCCCCCCCTTCCATTTTGATGTTTCTTGGCATCTCTTATAACTCCTTTATGAATGAGTTACTAACATGTATAACTGCCAAAAAGGAGCCTTATTGTAAAGTGTAAAACACATTCCCATTTATGAATGAGTTACTACCATTTATAATTGGTAAAAGGGACCCTTATTGTAAAGTGTGAAACACATCACAATCTATTGATGAGTCACTAACATTTATAACTACTGAAAGAGTGCGTTGTTTTTAAGTTTAATACACATGTCCATTTATGAATGAGTTATAACATTCACGCTGACCTAATACACATTTTTGCATGAAATGCAAAGTAAGATGCAACAGAACCAAGCAAAACATTTTATTCGCACATGAAGAAAATTAGGACTCAAAGTAAGGACTGTTTAGTATGACTGATACACATATTGAAACATAAAAGCTTTTCTCAGACATAAATGAAAGACTTGGTAAGACATAATGGTACTCAGACTGGAAAGGCTTTGTGTATATCCTTGAACAAGCGTCCAAGCAGTCCATCAGGGTGAGCAGAGCCAAGCCAAGATGACCATTCAAGAACCTTGAGGTGTTCCTCCAACAAACTCTCTGTACGGTTTCCTCTCAGTCTACGGACATGTCCTTTGACGGTCGACCTAGCTCTTTCTATATGTTGGGTATGACTGCCAGTCTGGGGGTTCACAAACACCTGCTGTGGTTTATGGTGTAGTGGTTGTACTCAGCACTCTCCTGTATGCCCTCCACTCATCACTAATAATGCTACTTCCTGACTTTGCCGTCTAATCAGACTTCCGAACATAGGAACTGAGTACAGTACTTTATCAGCATTGGTGTTACCAATGCTTACTATTTATTTGATACCAATTTGGTAATAAAATTATTAAAAATAACAAGTTTTGGGTTCGTTCTTCAGATATGACTGTGACGTTAACGTGTAAGCTCAATAATGAACTCCAGCTCAACCAACCATATTGTAATATCTAAGTAATCATCTTGAAATATGACATTAATATTTGTAATATACACACATCTTATTGTGAGGTTAATTTCACATACACTAGGCCGCTCTTCAACACTACTTTGACGTTAGCTTGTCTACATAATCAATCATAGCAAATTTAAATTAACCTTATCAATGCATAAAGTTACCTAATAAAATATCTCTCTAACTTACAAGGATGACCTTATTTTACCAACCTCAAACAGAAGCCGTTTATTCGACACTATTATCCCACTTAATGCTTAACACTTCTCTATTACGTTTTAACTTGGAGGCTACGTTTAGCATCGTTAATACAGATGTAGCTACCACTTGCTTACTACATGGTAACCCAAGCCTTAACATTCATTAACGTTAGCTGACTAAAAACATAAGCAACACATAAATAAAGTCCTCGAATTTCACTTACCGTAAAACTGCATTCATGCACCATCTGTTTTAAAATGTGGAGCGAGTCACAATAGTCCGATATAAGCATGAATAATAGTCCACAAGGCACTAGCACAACAAACACGGCAGAGTTCAAGTTATGTTCCCCGGATGAGCTGAGCAGGCTGAGCCCCTGTAGCTTCACGGAGCTGCTAGCAGAGCAGAAAGCTAACAGCAGCAGTCACTGGACAGAGCTGTCACTCAATGTGACCACACCCTAATTTACGCATAACTTTAAGGCTTAATATGACTTAAACAAATTATAAATTGTAGTAACTCATTAATAAATGGTGATTTGTTTAACACTTTACAAGGCTGCCTTTTGGCAGTTATAAATGTTAGTAACTCATAAATAAATGGTCATAAAGAGATGCCAAGAAACATCAAGATGGAAGGGGTGAATCAACTTAGTGAACAACAGATACCAAGGATGTTGGCTGATGAAGAAGACGAAGTAAACTAGGTAGCCAATATAAGACTTAGTCATCTTGCCAAATAGTGAGCCTGTGTTGATGTATGAAAACTATGTTAGAACTGGTTTATAAATGGTTCTTAATGATTAATAAAGTGTTTACAACCTAATTAATAACCTAATTATAAACCCTTTATGAGTCCTTTATAAGGGTAGTCTTATTGTAAAGTGGTACCCATTTTATTCAAAAATGTCCATGTCTCTCTTGACATACGTTTTGACCTGCTGTAGGTCAGTGCTCACAATGAATTGAATTGGCAAGCCTGAAATGTATTTACACAAATGACATATTTGCATATATTATACCTCCTACTGTATAGGCAGAACCACAAACCTGGCAGCTAGCATTAATACACTGTATAATTTATTCAGAATCCGACTTAAATGTATTCATCATACATAAAGTTGTGTTCATTATGCATACAGGTAATTTGTTGAATGGGCCATGCACATCAAATTATATCTGATATTCTTTGAAGAGCTACCTACAATTTTGTGCGGCTAATGGTTGTTGAACCATCTTTACAGAATGTGCACTTGACATTTTTGTAACATGTGAAAGGAGTTTCAAGAGCTAGTCTAGATCAATAGATACAAAAGAGCTTTTGTCAGTACATGTGTCATCTTACTAAAGAGTGGAGTTGTGAAACCTTACACACTGTATGTATTGTGCTACAGTAATACTAAGACCTTTAACAAAGAAAAGTGTAGTGCTTAGTCACGCTTAGCTTGGTACCATGAGTTTAGCTTAGCTTGGTACCATGAGTTTTCAAAGGCCATCAGATCAGGTGTCAGTGGTGTCCCTGCAGACAAAAAGAACATCATGTATATCAGTGTGCGAGCACTTGATATCAACAACCTCACTTCACTCTGCGGGAATGTGCGTGGACATAATCAGCACACACACACACACACACACACACATACGTGTTTATAGGATATATCAGGACGTGTGAAAAAAACGTGACAAATTGGGACATGCCTTTCCAAGGGTCCTAGGGACCTGGGAATCAAAGTATTTCATATCCATGCTTCTTGGAAGACATCCATCTATTGAGATTTTGTCTAATGCTATATTTTGCGGAAACCTGATTTTAATACTACTTCTGAGGACATGAACAGGTTTATGTGACTTATGAGCCCCTTAGCAACACACACTGATATTTCATGTTTATATGAATTGTGACCCCATAGATACACACTACATTTTCAAGTTTAAGGGACTTATGGAGACCCAGTAATACACAAAATAGAGTCTGTATTTGCAACTATGCCTTTATTACTTATGATTGAAATATCTGCATAAGAAGGATCGGTGTACATTAAAAAACTAAAACTTCAACATTAAATAATTACTCATGTTCGCCAGTCAGGTAACCTCTGACACAAAAAGTCTATTCATATTAACTTGTTGATACAACATATTAAAACTGAGCAGCCCAGAAACATACAAAAGCTAAGTTAAAAAGGTATATAGCATTTAATTGTGGTCAGTTTACTCTTAAAGTCTTAATATTTTTCAAGTTACAAATTCTCTAATAAACGTTTATGTGAAAAAAAGGATGAAACACTTTATTTGTTTCTACATTTAATGAATTGCTGGCAAAATATATAAATTGAAGTATAAACCAGAATAGGAGCAAATATGAAATTAAAAGAGGGTGCCCTCATGACTATTCCTTTACCTAACAATAAGGATATTGTATATAAGGATATACTCTATAAGCACCTTGAGATGACGTTGTCTTTAAAGTGTGTATTATAAATCAAATGTATTATATTATGATTGATTCATGTTGCATAAAGATGGAACCATGGTGACAGGCACTGCCTTGGATTAAATAATTCTTAGTCAACTAAAAGTCACAGGATTATGTCAACTATCCAAAATGTAGTGCTTTTTAACTAAAAAACATGTCTGTGAGTATTATTGTTGCCAGAGTTGGGTTCATCATTTCCCTGTTATGAGAAAGACTAATAGCAACAACTTAAAAACATTGTTTGTCGACTTAGAACCTAACAACCAATTATTTGGTCATATAAATTGTAAAATAACCTTTTTTTACACCGAGAATAGACCACCCACAACCCAGAAACGTTAGCCCCTATCCTCCATTGTGTGAGGCAGTGAAGTAGATATGGCATGTTTGAAAGGAATGAGCAACTTTCTCTTTAGTGTTTTTCTTGTAAAAAGCACGGAATTAACTTTTTATTAAAACTTCCAGCTTCTACGAAACATGACAAGTGTACACTATGTTTAGTTAACCAGTTTAAATAACTTACAACGTTTAATATAGTTTACCAAAGTTACCATAAATGAGGCATGTTACAAGTAGCCCCCACTCCAAATAATTTCTTAATAGTTGAAAGACCACATCAAACTACTTGTGGGCAAGAACAAATCAATGGTGAAAACTTGGGAAATAATGATGGAAGTAACAATTTTTTGAAGTACTAGTTATATTATTTGTTGAGACAGAACATAGTATTAACCCATCATCTCAAACCTTATTTATGAAAGAAATGATGGCATAACTGTAAATAATCGTCAAAAACACATTTTCTGTTGGCTGAAAGTGACCACGAGAGGGGGGTTGGAAAACACAT